AAGACAGAGAAGCTGGGGTTAGAGAGGAGAGTGGAAATTTATGGCGAATAGGTGTGAATCCCAGAAGTATGGGGAAGCACTATGGGGGGGGCACAATCCTAGGCCCAGGGACACCCCCCCGGCCCCGCCCCCAGCCCCGGGATCCAGGGGGCCCCAGGCCCCGCCCCTCACCTCTATGGTGACCGGCGGGAAGACCCCGGGTGGGATGTAGTGGTGGCCAATGCCGCTGCTGGTGAGCCACCAGTTGGGCCAGGTTCCAGGCAAATCCTTCTCTGTGATGGGGCAGTGAAGAGGGCCATAGCGCAACGCCAGGGTCCGACCCGCCATGGTCCAGCCCCTCCCGCTCGCCAAGCCCGGAGCCGGGTTTGTTGTCCCTGTTGCCCTAGGTGACAGAACCCGCCCCCTGAGCCCAGCCCACAAAGGGCCTGAGGGCCTGAGGATGGGCAGAGCGAGGACTGGAAGGACAGGACCACAGAGTCCGCAGGAGGCCGCAGGACGGCCCTACACAGGGGAAGGGTGGGAGGGGGACCGTAAAGAGAGGGGGCAGCAAAGGGGCAGGGGCGGGGGAGGAAGGAAGAGGTCCCAGTTGCAGACGGAGAGGGGCAGGGAGACCGATCGAGGGCCAGACAGATGCTGAGTGTGTGTGTGTGGAGGGGGGTAGCGCGCAGACACGCTCCCCCATTAGCCCATCATGGAATCCACGGGCAACACCCCTCTTTTCTAAAGGATCCGAACCTTCTACTGCCTCTGCTCACACGCACACTGCCAGGCCTGCCCACCTCGGGGGTAACGATTTCCAGACATTCCGGGGTTCCCCCACCCTCCCTGTGTGCGCAGCAGCCGGCCTCAGCGCCTGCCGTCTGGCCTGCCTTTGATTTGGCTGAAAACTTCCACCTGGGTATGGGGGGGAGGGGTGAAATATTTAGCAAAAAAGAGGGGTGTGCATTACTAACCCAGAGACAAGAGACACAGGAAGTTAGGGAGACAGAGAAGGGGGGAAGACTGGGAACAAGACCAGAGGCTGAGCCCCCACAGTGTATCAGGGTCCTGTTGGAGGGGGGGCAAGGGCGGGCAGCAAGGGGGATGTCAGCGTCCTTAGCCCAAAGCTTGACCCAAAAGTGGTTGTGGGCTGGGCGCTGCTGGCTCATGCCTGTCATCCTAGCTACTCACTCAGGAGGCTGAGATCTGAGGATTGAGGTTCAAAGTCAGCCCGGGCAGGAAAGTCCTTGAGACTCTTATCTCCAATGAACCACCAGAAAACCAGAAGTAGCACTGTGGCTCAAGTGGTAGAGCGCTGAAGAGCTGAGGGACAGCGCCCAGGCCCAGAGTTCAAGTCCCATGACCCCCACCCCCCGCCTCTCAAAAGAAACTAGAATGGCTGAAAGCCAGGTGGGTGAGCACTGTCTACTCAAGGTTTGAAGATCAAGGTTTGAAGCCAGCCAGAACAGAAAAATCCATGAGACTCTATCTCCAACTAACCAGCAAAAAGCTAGAAGTGGAGTTGTGGCTCAAGTGGTAGAGTGTCATTCTTAAGCAAAAAAGTTAAGAGACAGTATACCCAGACCCTGAGTTGAAGCCCCAGTACTGCATGTGCATGTGTGCGCGTGCCCACATGCATGTGTGCACACACACACACACAGAACCATGAGGTGCAAGATGGGTAAAGTATGAAGGGTAATTCTGAGAGTCTGGGAGCTCCTTTTGATACCTCTTCAATATAAAGAGATTTGCTAAGTCTTTTTCTTCCTCCCCAGAATTTCTTCATGCCAGCCCATTGTTCAGACATGGGAAACTGAGGCCACCTTTCCCAGCCTGACCCAGGTCTCACCCACCCTATTCCATTCTGAACCGAACACCTTGTATTGGTTGGTTCCACCCCTTCTCAAAGCCTATAGGTGTTCATGACTTGTGTCAGGGCAGGCCCATTGGTCACAACCCATATCTTGGACAATTTTAAGATCTATTTAATTCCCAATGTGGGGTAAAGGTTACAACAGGGGAGGAGTGCTGTCACCTGACTCCAGCTCCCTGCCTGGGCTTGAATTCTCCTCTATGTGACAGGCATCTTACTACCTCAAAAGACAATACTGGGGGCTGGGAAGGTGGCTTAGTGGTAGAGTGCTTGTCTAGCATGCATGAAGGCCTGGGTTTGATTCCTCAGCACCACATACACAGAAAAAGCCAGAAGTGGTGCTGTGGCTCAAGTGGTAGAGTGCTAGCCTTGAGCTCAGGGAGAGCACCCAGCTTCCCCCCCCCCCAAAGAAAAAGACAATACTGTATTCCAAGAATATTGGTCATTCTGACCAAGCAGGATTTCTCTCTTTATTTTTTATTATTTTGTCAGTAGTGGGGCTTCAACCTGGGGCCTCAGTGTTGTCCTTGAGCTCTTCTGCTCAAGACTAGCCCTCTAATCCCTTTAAGCCACAGCACCACTTCTGAATTGCTGATGGTTCATTGGAGATAAGAGTCTCAGGGACTTTCCAACCCAGGCTGGCTTTGAACCGGGATCCTCAGATCTCAGCCTCCTGAGTAGCTAAGGATGACAGGTGTGAGCCATAAGCAACTGGCTAGGATTTCTCATTGAAACCGCCTGCTCCCAGACATGACCAGGCTTTCTGCAGACCAGGTGCTCAGGTCCTCTGGCCTGGTCCTGCTTCTACACTACCCACCAGCTTCTTGACATATCACCCCTCCTTGTGGCTCTCTCCCAGAGTGGCCCAGGGCAGCTTCTTTTGCAATTAAAGGGTCATCATTAGAAGAGTGATGTGTTACCATGGAAAGTAGGAGGCACTCAGCAAATATGCATTATTGTCATGATCATTATTACCCTCCAGTTCCTCCAGGAGAACTCCTATTCATCCTTTGAAACTCCGTTTGGTTTCCTCACACGTCTTGCGGATGGAGCTCTCAAAATTGGAGCAGTTTGATTCCATGATCCTTTAAGGTTCCAAACAGAAGGCCACTCCTGAGGTGGTTTAGCATCCAGCTCTTCTTTTTTTCTCTGCCTGTTCAGTTCCTGGACCTGAGCCTCAGGCCCGTCCTGTCCGACTGAGGAGGGTGCAGACGCAGGCAGTGTCAATTCGAATCCATCTCCAGCCCACACGGCCCTGGGCATCAGAAGTCAAGGCCCGCACGTAGGACTGCTTGGCTTTGCATTCGGATACCCAGTGCCTGCGGTCCACTCCCCTGCAGCCCCCTCCGCCTGCACCCACACCACCTTCCCCAGTGCTATTAGCTTTACAGCGAGTCTCGAAGAAATACTGTCGGAGGGGGCTGCCACCAGCTGCGGGCACCTCGCCCAGCACCTCCACCTCACGTCCCCGCAGGTCCACGGCCGTCCGACGGTCTGTCACCCAGCCGCTCACTGCATCACAGACGGCCAGCTCGCCCCGGCGACTGGCCGGAGCCGACTCACTCACCCCACGACGAGTGCGGTTGGCTGGGGCACCGGCAGGCTCCCCAAAGGCTCCAGTCTCCAGCAGAAAGAGCAGAGGGGGCCCAGCCGGGGCACCCCTGGACAGGGCTACTCGGGGGGACAGGAGGTCCCACTCAGGAGCCAGGAAGGGGGGTAGAGTTGAAGGTGGAGAGCGAGGCTCCATTGGGACACTGGGGAGGAGGAAGAGGAGGAGGATGGGGAGGGAACACAGGGGCTTGGGGAGCATCTCTTGACCACCTGGTGGGGGGGGGGTAGAAGACAGAGAAGCTGGGGTTAGAGAGGAGAGTGGAAATTTATGGCGAATAGGTGTGAATCCCAGAAGTATGGGGAAGCACTATGGGGGGGGGCACATTCTAGAACTTGATTGATGCTGAACTTCTAGACTAAAAAATAACTTTAAAATGATTACTTAAAGCTGAGTGCTGTGGCTCACA